ACGGTGTGTTAATATCCCCAGATAGGGAAAACTGTGCGTTAATATCCCCAGGTAGGAAAAACTGTGTGTTAATATCCCCAGGTAGGGAAAACTGTGTGTTAATATCCCCAGGTAGGGAAAACTGTGTGTTAATATCCCCAGATAGGGAAAACTGTGTGTTAATATCCCCAGATAGGGAAAACTGATTTGTTAATATCCCCAGGTAGGGAAAACGGTGTGTTAATATCCCCAGATTGGGAAAACTGTGTGTTAATATCCCCAGGTAGGGAAAACTGTGTGTTAATATCCCCAGGTAGGGAAAACGGTGTGTTAATATCCCCAGGTAGGGAAAACTGTGTGTTAATATCCCCAGGTAGGAAAAACTGTGTGTTAATATCCCCAGGTAGGAAAAACTGTGTGTTAATATCCCCAGATAGGGAAAACTGTGTGTTAATATCCCCAGGCAGGGAAAACTGTGTGTTAATATCCCCAGGTAGGGAAAACTGTGTGTTAATATCCCCAGGTAGGGAAAACGGTGTGTTAATATCCCCAGATTGGGAAAACTGATTTGTTAATATCCCCAGATAGGGAAAACTGTGTGTTAATATCCCCAGGCAGGGAGAACTGTGTGTTAATATCCCCAGATAGGGAAAACTGATTTGTTAATATCCCCAGATAGGGAAAACTGTGTGTTAATATCCCCAGGTAGGAAAAACTGTGTGTTAATATCCACAGATAGGGAAAACTGTGTGTTAATATCCCCAGATAGGGAAAACTGATTTGGTAATATCCCCAGATAGGGAAAACTGTGTGTTAATATCCCCAGGTAGGAAAAACTGTGTGTTAATATCCCCAGATAGGGAAAACTGTGTGTTAATATCCCCAGGTAGGGAAAACTGTGTGTTAATATCCCCAGGTACGGAAAACTGTGTGTTAATATCCCCGGATAGGGAAAACTGATTTGTTAATATCCCCAGATAGGGAAAACTGTGTGTTAATATCCCCAGGCAGAGAAAACGGTGTGTTAATATCCCCAGATTAGGAAAACTGATTTGTTAATATCCCCAGATAGGGAAAACTGGTTTGTTAATATCCCCAGGCTGGGAAAACTGTGTGTTAATATCCCCAGGTAGGGAAAACTGTGTGTTAATATCCCCAGGTAGGGAAAACGGTGTGTTAATATCCCCAGATTGGGAAAACTGATTTGTTAATATCCCCAGATAGGGAACACTGTGTGTTAATATCCCCAGGCAGGGAGAACTGTGTGTTAATATCCCCAGATAGGGAAAACTGATTTGTTAATATCCCCAGATAGGAAAAACTGTGTGTTAATATCCCCAGGCAGAGAAAACGGTGTGTTAATATCCCCAGATAGGGAAAACTGATTTGTTAATATCCCCAGATAGGGAAAACTGTGTGTTAATATCCCCAGGTAGAGAAAACGGTGTGTTAATATCCCCAGATAGGGAAAACTGATGTTGTTAATACATCCAAATAAAATTCTTAGAATCAGAACATGAAACCAAACTTATTTGTGTTGATGTGTTTCGTGATACTTGTGATGTACTATTTCGATCCATAAAAATCTGTGAGACTTTCATCGTCGAGTGAGAATGGTCTTAACAGTAGTCGAGAATAAGACACCATGATGGGGATTCCCCGCGGTGAAGGGAATTCTATTATCGAATGACGCAAACAAAGCCAATTTCAAGATTAAAGAAAACGAACCGTTTAATCGGCGAGTGCGTTCGGTGCAACTGTTGACATTCGAATGCGCTCGAGCCAACGGAGAAAGTGGCGACGATCGTGAGTGCAATTATACAGCCGCGCCGTGATGTAATTGAAAAGACAAAAGTGTTTCCAGTGCTTGTGCATCGAAATGTCATTTGCTTGATCTTCGTGCATCGTTCAAACAATTACTACACCGTAACTATCGAGTTGATCCAGATTGGATAAATGTTACAGGGTTTTTAACTTTTTGCAAATCAAATTTACCAGAGTCGATCGGGTGACAATGTTTGGGGTCCTTTGCCCTGTATCTTCTTGGATTTATATTATTTCATATGCAATTATTGAAGTCGAATGTACAGAGCAAATTAAAGTAAATAACAAAGAACTATTTTATTTGGCAAAAGATTTCTATCGCGGTTTTCGAATTCTGAAATCGGCCAGCGGTTGCGTCCCTGTTCTTCGTGCAAGAAGGGACTTAACAGGCTGCTCGTTGGCCAAGCCGTCGTCGGCTGGACAGCAACTCACTTCGTCGTCCACTCCGGCACACCTGTTCACTCAGGTATGCGATACTCCCCTCTGTCTCTCCGTTCCTTCTCCTCTCTCCGTTGCTCCTCCCTCCCCCGCCCCGCTTGTCTCTTCGCCCCCTTTCGTCCAACTCTTTCTTACTCCTCGTCGCGACACACGGACGGTGGTTTACCGTTGTCATCAGTGATTCTGGATCCACGGACACAGCTGGTCCATTCCTGGTACGCAAACGTTGCAAATCTTCCAAAGTTGAAAGCGTCTTTTCCTAGACTTTTACTTTATGCAATAAGAGCAACATGTTTTTTACTCTCAATCTCAATTCCTTTCGATACAAATGAAAGTGTACGAAATTTTCACAAGCAAAGAATACACTGCCAATATTATTCTTAAATGGAACTCTATAAATTTGATTGCAGTTTTTAAATATCTACAAAAATGTATTAAGATTATACAGAGTGTAGACATCAGAATGCAACGAATGAAAAATTTTCGTAAAGTCGTTTTTGGTTTTCACTGGTATTGAAATTATTTTTTGTTTTGTTTCTCTATTATGAAAAAAATTTGTTCTTCAAAATGCTATAGTTTTCTAAATTTTCCATATTTTTCTGTTTAAAATTTTGTTATGCCGGTTGGTTTCTTCCATACTGAAAATTTTCTTCAAAATACTATGAGTCTAAATTTTTCATATTTTTTGTTTTGGTTTTTATGATGGACGCTGTACATCAACTGTGGTTACATCGTTGGATAGGATCAAAGGACTTAACTACTATTTAATTTTATTGTAACCTAACCTAACTCAGACCCTTAAACCATCTCTTAACAATCTCTTGCAAAATGAGATTGGCGAGATTCTCCCGATGAAAATGAGTCCAAACACGACATTATTCGGACAATTTTTAATTGTACGTAATTTGGAATTTTTCAAAAATAATTTGAGTAAGTCGAAATTAAAAGTAGTCCGAACCAGGTCGTGTTTGGACTCATTTTCATCGGGAGAATCTCACTAATACATTGATGATACTCTCACAAGGATATAAGTATAAAAACGTTTAATATCATTAACAGGTGACCTTCGACGTCACTAAATAAACATAGATGGGGAAAAAACACTTAGCTCTGTTATCTTTACGACACTATTACTAATGTATTGGCGAGATTCTCCCGATGAAAACGAGTCCAAACACGGCACCATTCGGACAATTTTTAATTGTACGTAATTTGGAATTTTTCATAAATAATTTGAGTAAGTCAAAATTAAAAGTAGTCCGAACCAGGTCGTGTTTGGACTCATTTTCATCGGGAGAATCTCGCCAATCTCATTTTGCAAGAGATTGTTAAGAGATAGTTTAAAGGTCTGGGTTAGGTTAGGTTTGGTTGGCGAGATTCTCCCCATGAAAACGACTCCAAACACGACAGCATTCGGACAATTTTTAATTATTCATAATTGAAAATTTTTCAAAAATAGTCCGATCAAGTAAAAATTAAAAGTAGTCCGAACCAGGTCGTGTTTGGGCTCATTTTCATCGGGAAAATCTCGTCAATTCATTAATAATACTCTCACCACGTTTTGATTTGACCACCTACGTGACTTACAGTAGAAATTTAATTCTCGCATTTAAAATTATTAACGCTAGATTTAGAAGTAAATTTGAAAATTTCAGCACCTATCCGATTTTTTTTCTCGAAAGTGAATCTCCCATTAAAATTATATTAAATATATATTTTATTATTATCCAAAACAACATTGAATTACACATAATTGACCTCATTCCTTCCACATTTTATGCATAATTCATGATACTACCAACGAAATAATTAGGATAATAAGTATTATTTTCTAACATCTTGTTTGGGGCATCATAACCTAATATAAAGTAATATAAACGAGCATCTTGCTGATTATTAGTGGATCTTTATGCAGCTATAATAAGTCAACAAAATTCATTTATTATAATTTAAACTACAGTAGGTTATAATATTTTTTCCATATTATCAGTGATTAAATTATGTCTCTTATGAGGCATATTTATATTTCCATTAATACTGTGACAGGATTTCTGGTAACTCTTTGGCATTCATACCTTTCAAAATATTGCTCATTTTTTACAGTAGTTTCTGTTCTTTCCTAATCATCTTGAAACTTACTGTCTAGGACCATCTGTACGTTTGTTGCTTAAAGTGGTATTTTCTGATTTTTTGTTTTTCTCAACATACGATACATTAGAATTTACATGAATATTTAAAAAAAACTTATTTGTTTTAGATATTATTATATTATTAGATGTAAGTTTGGGCTAATAATTATTCAAATATTCGTTCCAAGTCGGACCAATTATAAGACTTATATTTATGCCTTCGTTAGTTATTGGCAGAAGTATGTTTAAACAGATACAAATTATTTTGATTCATGAATTAATGGATGGAGTTAGGTGCAGACATTTGTGGCAGCTAACGTCACAGGCGTAGCAAGCGCCATCTAGTTAAGTCCCTAGTTTTAGTTAGTTTCTAGTTACTTTTAGTAAGATCTAAGTCACTAGTTGGTAGTATTAGATTTAAGTTGGCGCACCCCCTTTTTCTTTCGCCCTCCACACAGTGTGTTCATTTAAAAACATTATAATATCTCAAAAACAATGCTTTTTCATGGAAAATGTTAAATACAAAACCCTATTGGTTTCGAAGGTGAGTTACAACTGTCCTATTTTTTTGTTTGAATTGTTGTGCGTTTTCGAGGTTAAAATAAATTCCTCTGTTGGACGGAAATCGACGAAACAAATATTTTTACATTGGTGAAAATGGAGTGGTAATTTATAATAACATTATATCACTTATGCAATAATTATTTACATTAAATCGTTGAGAAAAAAAAATGTTAATGAATACGATGATACAGAAAGATTAATTCTCGATACTTTCGTAAAAGATCTGCTTTAAAACGCGTGTGCCATCTTGAAGTACATGGTATCTGTACGAGGGAAATTTTTCGGTGGACGACTCGTGCGAATATTTTTGCAATAATATCGTTTTGTCGTCCTCTTCGTTCGTCAGACACCAGACGTTGGCAAAGTACATCGAATAAATACTAATATTATTCATCGCCGTGGAGGACCACGCGCACAGGTACACCTAAGCGACGGACAAAAATGGTTAAAAATTTTTCAGCAGGTAACTTTCGAAAAGGAATCTATTTTTTTTTTTTATTTGTTCATTTACTTACATTCGTTTTCAAGATTTTCGAGCACGAGTTCATCGTGTCGAGGATCACCGCACACGTTTTGCCAATGTGCACATTCTGCATCGACTTGCTTTTCTCATGATCGTTGACATAGGCGTCGAAGTCGTCGATCAAGAGTACGGAAGGTATGCTAGCAAAGGTGTGCAATTCGACGAGTCGCTTTACGAGAGCTTCGTAGTTCTCCAAGTACCTGAGATAGTAATTTGTTCATTTCATAATCGATTAATGCAATCTTGTTGCAAAATTTATTCACTTAACATTAATTTTATGAAAATTAGCGATAAAAGTAATGAAATTAATGTAAATTTTAGTTTTGCCTCTAAAATTTATCTATACAATATAAAAATAAGTTGTCCTATGTTCGTGATTTTATAACTCGAGAACCACTCAACCGATTTTCAAACGAGTACATGCGTTGGAAAGGTCTACTTTCACTGATGGTTTATAAATAAAAAAACATCGAAAAATTTCTACGAATATGCGTTATACGCGCACTTTTATGATGGTGTGTTTTCCCTATATAAAATAAGAGAGAGCCGATTTTTATGTTCGCGCAAAACTCAAGACCTATTGAACCGATCTTCCTCAAATTTTGACACGTTATTCCTGCATACTCTAGGACGGACATAGGCTATGTAGCATGTCTCAGAAGCGCGTTATTAACATGTAATTTATATGCAAAGATTTCATGTGTACGACTGTTTGGCAGACCACGTGACCCCTGTATACGACGGTCTACTTGCGCGCGCATGCGCATATTCGGCCCGCGCGATACCTCGCCCGTAGCAGTACTGCGATGTTACCGCCAGGTGGCGAAGCTTCTCGAGCGCTTTCTCGCGAGAGAATTGCATTATCGCGGATATGTATGTCAGGACGATCGTCTGGTCATAAATTGCTTTTGCACAAGGTCGCGTGAAGCCGAGACGGGGCATGCTAGTTTAACATAATTTTATGAAAATAGTTTTTGTTTCTTCTCACTTTATTTTATTTCTAACCTACAATGATAGACAATTTTAACAATGGAGTCGAGTACGACTGAAATGCGGTGTTATCGTTATTAAAATTTACTTTTAACAATCAGTGATAATTAAATTTAAAAAAACCAATAAAGGGTATAGCCGAATAAGGGGGTGAAATGTGACATACGATGGATCTATCGATGGAGCATCAAGAAAAAACGTTCTGTGCTAAATTTTAACCCTCTATCTTGTTTGGAAGGGTAGTTATTGAGAAAATTCGGATTAACGAATTTCTGCCTATTTCCCCTATTTAATCGAGTACAAAAATTATGAAAAAAATCTGGTGCATTGTGGTTATTGAGATACGTGTTTGAGAATTTTTTTCGATTTTTCGATTCCAAATCCTAGGCGTGAAAAATTGAAAACGCAAAAAAACACAGAAAAATACGGATTTCGTATTGAAGCTTTCGAGACACTGGATTTCTATAATTACTGTAAATGCGTATTGTCATTGGTTATTTCCCTGAATTTTTTCTGATTTTTTGGTAGGGTGCGCCGTAGTAGGAAAAATGAAAAACCGATCTTTTCGACGTTTTTCGCGTGAAAAAGCATCTTATACTTTGAATATTTGTATTCTCTTTAATAGATAACTATATTGTATAGTTTTAAACATTTCTATGTTGAGCAGAACATTGTATACAAGAAGAGAAGCAAAAATAAGTCACGAAATAGAAATTGATATGCGCGATATATTTAGAAGTATCAACGGTATTTACAAGAGCTGCGATGGTGCAGTAAGTAAGATGCTTGACTGTGAAACTGCTGCAAACTTTTTCACGCGCGTTCGCACCCTGCTAAAGTACATTTTCTTTATTACATTAATTTTGTTTTTTTTTTTCAATTTCTAACTAAACGACAGTGAAAAACTATTTGTTTATTAATATTTAAAAAATATTTTCACCCAAAATATACGCAAAAACAATTATAGAGCAGTTTCTGTTCCATCATTTTTCTAGTATTTGCTTAAATATCCGACTGTTTAATTTTTTCTACGTTAAATGAATATACGTAGTTAGTTTTAAAATCGCAAACCTTTAATAAGTTTGAATAGTGGAAGAAGATTCTTGAATACATCGTATTAACAAACATCGTATGTCACATTTCGTTCATGGGCACATTTCACCCCCTTATTCGGCTATACCCTTTAAAAATTGTTTTTTATTTAAAAAAAATTTCCTATAATCCATTTTGAATAACCCGTCACAATATGAAAAATAAAAAATGTATTTAAGTTGTAGACAAAAGAACATGATCTTCAAAAAACTCCGAAAAAGATGACATTTGAAGGAAAATATTTTTTTTTTTTATTGTAACTAAACAGATATTAAATTAGATTCTTTTAGGCGAGACGCTATTTTAAATATCGTAGGTTTAAAAATAGTAGAAAATTTCCATCGTAATCGATTAATTTTTGAAAAGAAATTCATATCGATATCGTTAATAAATAGCACGTAACTGATTTAATGAAACATTCCTGTACATACATATAATAATAAACATTTTGTTCGAATTTAACTTTGATGTGTAGCAACGCGGCCAGCAATAACTCAGGTTACGCGCCACTATTAAAGCAAGGCAATCAGGAAGGGGAATTTTACTCTTTTGCCGGAAAGCACGTTCAACGAATCCACCTCGCGGACACGGAATCTCTCTTCGAAAAATAAACCGAAGAAGAAGGAGGCTGGTGATTTGCGACGATCCCTCGTACCGATGGTTTATTTACCCTCTGGCGCCATGATGGATCGCGCATAAAAATTGCGAAATTCGGTGTTTAGTCGACGTTCGAAAGAATAAACCTCGTCGAATTGATTCATATGCCCACCAAATATTATCATTGTACGGGTTTAAACAGAAAAGATCGGAACAGAGAAATATGTCTTGAGGATATTTATTTTGATACTCGTTCAATAATAAATTCAGATCCTTTGCGGACCAATGTAGTTACTTGATGCAGTTCGGTGCAGTGGAATGAATAAACGTTCCCAATTGCGTGATCTATGCGCGTTCAGAGCTCTTCTGAAAACACGATCGATCGTAAACAACCCGTATATTTATGCGCGTTGAATGTCGATAGCTGTCGCGTGCGACGCGCCAAGTAACTAATGTTCCTTGATCGAACGCTTCCGGGACGTTGAACAAACTTCTCGAATAATACTTTCTATGTGGTATTCTTCCACATGGCCAGTGGAATTGTACCGTCGAGAGTCGAGATTGTTCGAGATCGAGCACGAAACGGGGGAAAACTATAACCTAACCCTAACCTAAAGTTCACGTGATCGATGCTGCTGCCGCGGATGAGTGGCTGCTGAACGTCGCTGCTCAGGGACGCTTTTTAACGGCCCCTGAGAAGGGCCCTGTGATACATTAAATCCAATCGAAATGATTTAGTCTCGAGTTAAAAATTATATTGCAACAAATAATACAACGTTCAGATTTACAGATGCAAAAAAATTTATTTCACGGGTCATTAGAATATTCTACGGTTAGAAACTGAAGAAAATGTGTTGACAGTGTTGTTCAAGTTATTGAACGCAAATTTTTGGCAATTGGATCAGAATATTGATGCATTAAATGAATCGTTTATAATTAATTTCAATTCTGACAGTTGAAACACAGAATCAGCATAAATTCTATATAGTAAGAAATAGCTAAATTAAATGTAGAAATATAGTTGTCCATAGTTTAATTTGTACTTTCGTTTGACCCCTTATTTACGTTGTTATACTGGGTGTTCGGCCACCCCTGGGAAACAATTTTAATGGGGGGTTCTAGAGGCCAAAATAAGACGAAAATCAAGAACACCAATTTGTTGATGGAGGCTTCGTTAAAAAGTTATTAACGTTTAAAGTTCCGTCCGTACTGAATTTTTTCCTCGAAAGTGCGTAGGATTTTCGGGGAATGTATATTCACCAAAAATGGTTGTATTTAACCCCAGAACCTAGAAATAATTTTTTTAGAACGATTCGTCATTTTTTTTTCACCGAGATATTTCGCATTGTCGATTTTTCTTAAAAATTAGTTTTTCATTTTTAATAAATTTGTTTGACCCCCCATAGAAAAGTTGTTTAATAATTTTTTGTAGGTACACATGAGCTCTACTTCAAAAAAAAGTTTCATTCAACTGTATTCACTATTGTAGGAGTTATAGCTGTTTGAAAATTCGACCACTTTTATGGGGGTTTTCACACTTTACGAGGTTAAGGAACAACTTTTTCGATATTGTTAGAATTTCTACATGTTCTTCACTAAAATACGCATCGTTTGCATTGTGAAACATTAAAATCGACCAATCCTTCCAGAAGTTATGATTTTTTAAACATACTTATGCAATTTCGGAGCAACATTTCTAACCTCACATTATATTTATGGAAAAGAATTTTTTTCTCGAAAGTGCGTAGGATTTTGGGAGTATGTCTACTCAGCAAAAATGATTGTAATTGACCACCGTAATCAAAAATAATTTTTCCAGAACGATTTAAAACTTTTCATTTTCGTCGAAAAATTTGTCCACCTTTCTGAATATTTTTCTCGAATGTGCGTAGGATTTCGGGAGTATGTCTATTGACCAAAAATGATTATAATAGACCCCTACAATCAAAAATATTTTTTTTAGAACAATTTGAAATTTTTTAATTTTGTCGAAAAATTTCATACATTCTCGAATTTTTTTCTAGAAAGTGGGTAGGATTTCGGGGGTATGTCTATTCACCAAAAATGATTATAATAGACCCCTCCAACCAAAAATAATTTTTTTAGAAAAATTTGAAATTTTTTAATTTTGTCGAAAAATTTCATACATTCTCGAATTTTTTTCTAGAAAGTGGGTAGGATTTCGGGGGTATGTCTATTCACCAAAAATGATTGTAATTGACCCCCGCAACCGAAAATAATTTTTTCAGATCGATTTGAAATTTTCTTTACTCCCTGTTAATTTTTCTCAAAAATTCGTTTCTCATTTTTAGTAATTTTATTTGATGTCCTACATAAGAGTTGTTTAATACTATTTTGTAGGTACCCATGAGCTCTACTTCAAAAAAAAGTTTCATTCAACTGTATTCACTATTGTAGGAGTTATAGCTGTTTGAAAATTCGACCACTTTTATGGGGGTTTTCACACTTTACGAGGTTAAGGAACAACTTTTTCGATATTGTTAGAATTTCTACATGTTCTTCACTAAAATACGCATCGTTTGCATTGTGAAACATTAAAATCGACCAATCCTTCCAGAAGTTATGATTTTTTAAACATACTTATGCAATTTCGGAGCAACATTTCTAACCTCACATTATATTTATGGAAAAGAATTTTTTTCTCGAAAGTGCGTAGGATTTTTGGAGTATGTCTACTCAGCAAAAATGATTGTAATTGACCACCGTAATCAAAAATAATTTTTCCAGAACGATTTAAAACTTTTCATTTTCGTCGAAAAATTTGTCCACCTTTCTGAATATTTTTCTCGAATGTGCGTAGGATTTCGGGAGTATGTCTATTGACCAAAAATGATTATAATAGACCCCTACAATCAAAAATATTTTTTTTAGAACAATTTGAAATTTTTTAATTTTGTCGAAAAATTTCATACATTCTCGAATTTTTTTCTAGAAAGTGGGTAGGATTTCGGGGGTATGTCTATTCACCAAAAATGATTATAATAGACCCCTCCAACCAAAAATAATTTTTTTAGAAAAATTTGAAATTTTTTAATTTTGTCGAAAAATTTCATACATTCTCGAATTTTTTTCTAGAAAGTGGGTAGGATTTCGGGGGTATGTCTATTCACCAAAAATGATTGTAATTGACCCCCGCAACCGAAAATAATTTTTTCAGAACGATTTGAAATTTTTTTTCCGCCGAAAAATTTGTCCGCCTTCCTGAATTTTTTTCTCGAAAATGCGTAGGATTTAGGGAGTTTGTCTATTGATAAAAAATGATTGTAATTGACCCCCGCAACGAAAAGTAATTTTTTGCAAAATGATTTGAAATTTTATATTCTTGATTTTCCTTTTATTTTGGTCTCTAAAATCTTCCATTAAAATTTTTCCCAGAGTTAACCGAACACCCTATATACGGTGTAATATCGTGTAATTCGAACTTATGTTTCTGAACAATTTTTCATGAGATATTGTTGTCAACATTGGTAGAATCATTAATTACTATGTTTATACTCAGTCAGAACGATGCAATGCGGTACGAAGAATCATTTTACTCGGAAATAAGCAATGCATTAATTTCTTTTATTTAGCGTGTCTATATTGCAGTATTATGTAAAGTAAACATTCGTCTTCTGCGAGAGATAGGATGCAAGAAAATAAAATGTGCAAAGAGCATGGACATAGAAATATAGGGACGGAGCAATGGTCGAGGGGGTGAAGCAGCTCCGGGGAGCTGCAAACTATGGTCACGTGGTACAGTGAAAACTCGATAAATGTCCTCAAGAGCTGTTCCATAAATGATACATTTTTATCCCCACCACTAGGGGGATCCCCCTTGAACCAGTGAGGCGAAGTGTAACCGGATACGTAGCGGCTTTCTTTAAAAATCTTTATTGCCTTCGTCATCTTAGTTTAAATGTCCCTGTCAGTGTGACCACACTACTGTACAAGAAGAAAGTTTTTTATTTTTTACTTTTTTTTAATAAAAATTTTACTATCATGTGGGGAAGATTTTTCTAATTAAAATGAGACTAAACACGATATAAATCGGCCAATATTTGTTACCATAATATTGAATTAAATATTGTGTACTCGTATCTTCGTAAGGTCAGTGGATTGGTACATTTATCGAACAGTGGTAGCTAACGAAACCCCCTATTTCATAAGTGTTGCAGTTTTTGATCACTTACGAAACGGTGGAACCGTTCCGTTTGAAAATAGCTACCTCCCGTTCGATAAATGTAGCCAGCACCTCGATGCGTCGTTCTTTGATATTTCCGAACATAGAAAAGGACAGCACAAGAAGGATAAATAAAGAGAGAAAGACTCGCAAGTACAATATTTAATTCAATATTATGCTACCAAATATTGACCGATTTATATCGTGTTTAGCCTCATTTTAATCAGAGAAATCTCCCCAACATGATAGTGAAATTTTTATTAACAAAAAGTAAAAAATAAAAAACTTTCTTCTGTGCAGTAGTGTGGTCACACTGACGCGGATATTTAAACTGGGGCGATAAATCCGAGTTTCAGTCCCTCTTTCTTCTTTAGCTACTGACTCTTTCTACGTTCGAAGCGTCGGCAAACTACAATCAAATTCGAAAGACGATTCTCCTATTCCGTAAGTGTTGCTGACCGGACCCGGAGTAGCGACATTTATCGAGTTTTCACTGTACTCTGATGCCGCATTGGCGATTGGTTGTGATAGCGCAAGCGCAATCTTATTCTCATCGAGTAAGAGTGAGTGAGAAGCAGTGTAAAAGGCAGTGAAAGAGTAGACTGGTATTACTGTGAGCAGTAGCGTCAGTGAATTATACAGTTTTTTTTCTAAAAAAGACAGATATATATTTGTTTTTACAATGCCACTGTGCGTTGTAAAAGGGTGTAAAAATCGTACGGCAAGTCGTCCCGTTTTGGGAGAAAAGAAAATAAATAATATAATTATTCTCTCATATCACCGGTAATTGTTATGAAAATGATTGATAATACACCCCAATCTCTTTATGGAATAGAAAAATAGATATTAACAGTTGTATAATTTATTAAAGGATAAATTACCAATATTTAGGGAATTAGATTAACATTTTATAATAAAAATTTTAATATTGCATTATAAGACTATGACCAATATTTAACTCTACGATGGCAAGTTATATGTTGCAAAATTCGTTAAATCATATTCTTAAGTCGAAAAAAGTGAAAGATAACCTCGTAGTTATATCTATCTATTCCTAAATAATCATGTTTTATTTATTGACAGATCTCATCAAATAATAATGCAAACCGTACTGAATTCATTGCGTAGTTGCAAATTTAAATATCAAACGAAAGTAATAAAGATTTTTCATATCTATAGATTCAAACTTTCAACCATTTAATTCTGACATCTCAATCACCATTAACATTTCAGTATGTTGATTTATAAATAAAACATTTTGTGTCTCTGGTTTACTAAAAATATTCTATCGTACATTTATAATTGTAAAGAAACTAAAGCTTTCAATTTTAAATTTCGCGCATTTAGGATAGCACCAATCACTAATGCGGCACCAGAGAGTACCACGTGACCGTGATTTCCCCCCGCAAAGCTGCTTCACTCCCCTCGCCAACAGTCGCAACTATTGCTCCGTCCCTATATTCCTATGTCCATGGCAAAGAGGCAAGGTGCAACTGAAATGCTGTTTCCAAACATAACCTCATAAACGTAACAAAGTCTCTACGTCCAGACTCTCAACTTATTTTATTAAAAAATGCTGTAGATTAACGGTGAATGTGATAACTATGTTTTAACAACACTATGAAACAATTCATTGATAATTATTACATTGTTATTGGATAATAACGAGTGTAAAATGCTGTTTCCAAACTTAACCTCACGAATGTTTTAACGTTTTAATTCTGATGTACACGCTGTCTGAACACGCAGAGAAGCCAAACGCGGAGCCAAAGAGTTCAAGACAAATGCTGTAAACACGAATTTTAATAGCGCTCGTAAATATGTGTCTAATAATGTTATAAATTTAAAACAAAACGTTATCTAATGCCTATAACAACAAAGTTATATAAGCGGTACAAGACTGAATATATGTACACCATATGTACATATAAAAAATGTTGGAAATGTATCCGCTGGATGTCGCGGTGAGCGGTATGCGTGCGACTCGTTTATTTTTGTTGTCGCGTGGCGCTCTAGTATGCATGTATGTTTATGTTTGATTTTCTACCGACCGATGCGCGGTTGTTCAGTTCTGCTACAGTTGGTTATCGTTACAGTCAAAGTGTTTTGTTTTTTTTCATAATTTGTATTCTAAAAAGGAATAAAGTGAACTATAGTAGCAATATTGAAGTTATCGACTCTACATGCAGCATTCTTTGCGTACGAACTTTCGATGAAAATTATCAACAAAAAAGAAACATACATTTTCAAGGTGATAGCGCGAAACGTTGTAAACGTTATTCGCCTTCGGGATTCAAATTCTACGGGAACAGAAGCGATTCGAAAATAACGTCGAAATTAAGTTTGACGAAGTGGGCATAAATCTGGATCGTTCTTTTTATAGAAACGAATCCCGAAGGCCGATGCATGCGCAAAAGCATCGCAAGAAAAGTGTTCCGCTTACATAAATCTCATCAGCTTGAAAGCCGCGGGTGCTGGATTACTTCTGTCGTGACAGGCCGCCGGCAGGCTCTCCAACGGGGCTGGTGTAATATAAACAACGCGACGTCCTTCTTCGGCCCAGTAAATTGCTGTCTACGAAGGAAAACCCGATTCCGGAAATGTCGTGACCACTTGTGACGAAACAGACCCGTAACAAGCGCTGGACACGCGATAAGACGCTCAACCGGAGATTAACAATTTGATGGTCGCGAGGTTTCCGCCGAGACTGTTGCTTTACTGTCAGTGATTTTTCTGAGAGTTTCATTTTTATGAGAGCTTCTCATTTTCTTTAACCCCTTAACCTACAACTACGTGTGAGACACGTAGTCTTCTATTCGGGCTAAAACTGATTACCACGTGCCTGGCTCGTAGTACATCGGTCGGGCCAAATGTAAATATGTACTACGGGCATAGCTCGTGGTACATCGGTTGGGCCAAATGCAAATACTACGGGTATAGCTCGTGGTACAACGATCGCAGTTTGTAATTTGAGTCGCCACGAACAGCACAGACCAGGCTTGTGATACGCACGTTCGCACTTTGAAATATATTTTCTTAAATATTAGAGAAATATCTCTAAAAGATGTGCGCGTTTAGTACAACTTAGGACCGATCTGCCGAACCGCGAAATGACTCGAAGGCTGCGCGATCTTGTTGACGCTTTGGGCCCAGGCTGTTGAAACATAAATCGTAGGTTAAGGGGTTAACATTCAAATATTAACCCTTTGCACTCGTATGTCGCCGTAGAGGCGACATTACACGTTTCATTATTATACACATATTTACATTAGTATTTCATTCTAGAGGCACGTGTTACAATGTTTTCTTTTAGTTTTTTCTTAAATGTGTGTGAATACAGGGTGTTCGGCCACTCCTAGGAAAAATTTTAATGGGAGATTCTAGAGGCCAAAATAAAACGAGAATCAAGAATATTAATTTCTTGACCTGAGGCTTCGTTAAAAAGTTATTAAAAAATGAAATTAAAAAATTTCAAATCATTTTACAAAACATTACTTTTGGTTGCGGGGGTCATTTACAATAATTTTTGATCAATAGACAAACTCCCTAAATCCTACGCATTTTCGAGAAAAAAATTCAGGAAGGTGGACAAATTTTTCGGCGGGAAAAAAATTTGAAATCGTTCTGAAAAAATTATTTTTTGTTGGAGGGGTCAATTACAATCATTTTTGATTAATAGACAAACTTCCTAAACCCTACGCATTTTCGAGAAAAAAATTCAGAAAGGTGGACAAATTTTTCGGCGGAAAAAAAATTTCAAATCGTTCTGAAAAAATTATTTTCGTTTGCGGGGGTCAATTCCATTCATTTTTGGTGAATAGACATACCCCCGAAATCCTACCCACTTTCTAGAAAAAAATTCGTGAATGTCTGAAAGTCGACAAAATTAAAAAATTTCAAATTGTCCAAAAAAAATTATTTTTCGTTGGAGGGGTCTATTATAATCATTTTTGGTCAATAGACATACTCGCGAAATCCTACGTATTTTCGAGAAAAAAATTCAGGAAGATGGACAAATTTTTCGGCGGGAAAAAAATTTCAAATCGTTCTGAAAAAATTATTTTCGTTTGCGGGGGTCAATTCCATTCATTTTTTGTGAATAGACATACCCCCGAAATCCTACCCACTTTCTAGAAAAAAATTCGAGAATGTCTGAAATTTGTCGATGAAATTAAAAAATTTCAAATTTTCCAAAAAAAATTATTTTTCGTTGGAGGGGTCAATTACAATCATTTTTGATTAATAGACAAACTTCCTAAACCCTACGCATTTTCGAGAAAAAAATTCAAGAAGATGGACAAATTTTTCGGCGGGAAAAAAATTTCAAATCGTTCTGAAAAAATTATTTTCGTTTGCGGGGGTCAATTCCATTCATTTTTGGTAAATAGACATACCCCCGAAATCCTACCCACTTTCTAGAAAAAAATTCGAGAATGTCTGAAATTTGTCGACAAAATTTAAAAATTTCAAATTGTCCAAAAAAAATTATTTTTCGTTGGAGGGGTCTATTATAATCATTTTTGGTCAATAGACATACACGCGAAATCCTACGCACTTTCGAGAAAAAAATTCATTTCCAAAAATATAATGTGAGGTTAGAAATATTGCCCCTCACGCGTATGTTTGAAAGATCATAACCCCTGAACGGATTGAAGGATTTTAATGTTTCAAAATGCAAACGACGCGGATTATGATGAAGACGACGTAGAAATTCCAAGACTATTCCTAAAATTGTTCTTCAAACCCGGAAAATGAGAAAAACATCATAAAAATAATCCAATTTTCAAGCGTCCATAACTTCTACAATAGTCAATAGATTTCATTGAAATTTAGTCCGGAAGTAGAGCTCATGGATACTTACATAAAAGTACTAAACAATATTTCCATACAGCGTCAAACTAATTTAATAGAAATTAAAAACGAATTTTCAAGAAAAATCGACAGGGAGTAGGTGCCTTTTTTCGGTGAAAATATAGAGTTTCAAATCATTCTGGAAAAATTATTTTCGGTTGCGAAAGTCAATTACAATCATTTTTTACCATTACACATAACCCCGAAATCTTACGCACTTTTGAGAAAAAAAATTCTTTACCATAAATCTAATGTGTGGCCAGAGATCTGTGATTATATTCCTCGTTTTTATCATTTCATATGTAGATATAGTCCAATTATTCGGCATATACAATTGTAATGGGAGATTTTAGAGGCCAAAATAAAACAAAAATCAAATATGTCTATTTGTTGATTGAGGCTTTGTTAAAAAGTTATTAACGTTTAAATTTCCATCTGTAGTAGTGGTTCTCACTCAGCATGAGAAACTCTACTTACTGACGTATCGACAGCCTTGCAGTCTTGTAAGTGAGAACCACTATTGCGCGTGCGCAGCTGCTCGCAGATTACCGTTCCACAGGCGGAACTTGAAACGTTAATAACGTTTTAACGAAGCTTCAATCAACAAATTGGTATTCTTGATTTTCGTCTTATTTTGGCCTCTAGAATCTCCCATTAAAATTTTTCCCAGGTGTGGCTGAACACCCTGTATATAAAATAAAATGAATAAATAAAAGATAAAAAGTTTTTCCTCTTTTATCCTGGCTAATTGGTTTTGTTCCCGAGGTCACTCGTTTATAAAAAAAATCATCGAAGAAAAATAAAAAATTGTAATACAACGATTGTGTTTTCGAGAGGAACATTGAAACTATATTTCATACATTCATAAAGGCTGGTAATAAAAAATATACTGAAGCCTCACGTTTTATGTAGTACAACATTATTTTTAGCCTTTAGTGTATCCCTGTGTGTCCTATGTATTTCTTCCAGTTTCGAAGTTAGTTTTATTTATTTTTTCAAATATTTCGAAAAATCAAAATTTATATACACATATTATATAGATTTTCACTGTTCAAGAGGGGGTGAGATGCAAATTAAATTTATGCATTTTTATAATATTTTCTATTAAACCGACAAGTTAAATTGTAATATGTTCCCATAAAAATATTTTCATTTTGATCGCATATAAAAAAAAATTCCGAGTTGATTGGTAACCTTCTTAAAAATAGATACGAGTGCAAAGGGGTAACAGTCTCATCAAAATATAAAATTTTATTTATTCACATAGCTCGTTGGTATCTTTCTACAAGGCGTTCGATCACCCCTAGGAAAAACTGTAATGGAAGATTCTAGAGGCCAAAATAGGACGAAAATCAAGAATAGCAATTTGTTGATGGAGGCTTCGTTAAAAAGTTATTAACGTTTAAAGTTCCGCCCGTACTGAATTTTTTTCTCAAAAATGCGCAGGATTTCGGGGATATGTTTATTCACCAAAAATGATTGTAATTAACCCCCGCAACCGAAAATAATTTTTCCAAAACGATCTAAAATGTTTTAATTTAATTTTTTAATAACTTTTTAACAAAGCCTCAGTCAAGAAGTCGATATTCTTGATTTTTGTCTTATTTTGGCCTCTAGAATCTCCCATTAAAATTTTTCCCAAATTTGACCGTACACCCTGTATAGGATGAATCTTGTAACATGAAGACTTCAAATAACTCAGAAATTATTTGTTTTACGAAAAAATGTTTCAGATAAAAGTTGCATGGTTTGCAGAAGGACATATAGTACTGTAATCGGTTTTATGTTACTTTGCTTTCTTATCAAGACATGAAAATCACTTTTAGTTTTTTAAATGGAATGATTAATCTTTCTTACAGAATTCAGATAAAGCATTAAATTCTATATAAAAATGTATTATACCCAGTAGGGTCTAAAATAAATAGTTACTGACATACTAAAGATGCTGATATTTTCACTATGAAAAAATGTTTAAGCTACGATTTTCTGTTATGATTACCTCGAACATGAAGGATTTGCTTAATTCTGCAGGTCCATAAAGTAACGTTGACTTCACATTATGCTTCGCTGAGAACATATTTTATTCCGTTTATTGAAATCGAATTTAGGTTATGCGATTAACGCGATAGACGATAGAAATTGTTTTCTACAATAATTATGATTGTGTATCATCGATAAAACATAATAGATGAATCGATATGCAAAATTTATTCTAATACTAGATTTATCCGCTTTTTCAATTGTTTTATATTCTTTGTGCCGCGCTTTTCTAAACACTGACTCGTGAAAGAAATTTGAACAGAACGTTGTCGAAAGTTACTTGCAGCGACATCTTTCGATATTAAAGTACTATAATTGTGGCCAGTGTCCGTAGCTTTGGCGCTGCGTACGCTGTCGCGCCTCTACTGACGAAAGGGTGAACTGTTTTTCACACCAGCGTCCATGCAGTTTTCTTTGTTGCTGGAAGATCCTTACGCTTCGCCACGCGAACAGCTACAGTCATGGCAATTATTCTAAACCTAGTTTCTGAGCCTCGAGTATGTGTCTTGTAGAAGGCTCACATTACTTTTGTTCATTGTTGTTGAAATAAAGATAGTTATAACCACATCCGCTGTTTCATTGAACATACTTGTTAATATAGTGACAAGTGCTGTATAATATGGCGGCTAACGTCGCAAGCGTAGCAAGCGCCATCTAGTTAAGTCCCTAGTTTTAGGTAGTTTCTAGTTAGTTTTAGTTAGTTTAAGTAAGATCTAAGTCACTAGTTGGTAGTATTAGATTTAAGATGGCGCACCCCCTTTTTCTTGGCCCAACTTGGGCCGCCCAAGGATTTTTAGGGGCCAGTTCTGTTCGACGCCTACGCAAAGCTAGAAGTAAGGAAGCAGAAGTGTGCTTAAATAAAGTCTTTTTAATACAACAAAATTGAACTTTATATCTGAAGACTCTCCCAGCGCGAACCTATCCACCACAATAATGTAGCGACCAGCGGCCAGTGTTGCCAACGTTCGACGCGCCATCTTATGTCAACTAGGTTAAGTTAGGTTAGTTAGTTTCTAGTCATAGGTTAGGGATTTTAGCGTCCTCTTCTCATGGATGGTGGTCAGTTGAGAAACTATTCACTGAATTAGTATTGAGAAGCAACAACTGTAGTGTGTGTATAAATACATGTGAGTTGACTATGGAACGGATTAAAAAACGCAATCTTCAAACGACCATAACACTTGCAATAGTAATTATATTTCAATGAAACTATTTTCTGAAGTAGAACTCATGGGTACCTACAAAAAAAAATTAGACAACTTTTCTATACGACGTCAAACAAAATTACTAAAAATCGAAAACGAATTTTTAAGGAATATCGAGAGGGAGTAGGTGTCTTTTTCAGTGAAAATGAAAAATTTCAAATCACTCTGGAAAAATTATTTTCGACTGCAGAGGTCAATTGCAATCATTTTTGGTGAATACACATACTTCGGAAATCCTACGCACTTTCGAGAAAAAATTCTTTACCAAAAATATAATGTGTGGCCAGGAATGTTGTGTAATTTCATTTTCTGTCTCACTTTCTCTGGTGTTCATTTGTGTAACCAGTTGGTAATGTTGCGAATGACATGAAAGTGGTAATGGGGCTCTAGAGCCCCAGAAAAATGGGCCGAAAAAATACATTGGGTGAAAGGTCTACTTGTATACCTCGTCTGTGCCCAAACTGACTGCCATGCCGACATTAACGACTTAAAAATTGAGAGGTGACTTTAGCGTCCTCTTCTCATGGATGGCGGTCAGTTGAAAAACTATTCATTGAATTATATGCGATTCAAAAATTGGCAGGAAATATAAATAGCTGCACGCGAGCAATGTATGATCAGACCAGAGCCGAAATGTAATATCCAGGTCCCTAAAAAAACTAATTTTTTAAAGAAAAAGTAATCCTTAATAGTAATTAATTAAATATTATAATAATATTATATAATAATGTAAATAAGAAGACAAATGTATGGAAAACTATATTTCTACACTTAATTTATCTATTTATTACTAGACATACATATATGTATATTGGAATAAATAAAAAACTACAAGAGATATAACTATCATTATCCATAGGGCTAATTATGCTCAAAAGTTTAATCAGACCTTGAAATGAGAACATAAAACTTAAATGTAAAGTTTCATTGAAATTCATTCAGTCGTTAGATACACAAAAATTTCTGTTTTTTTAATAGTCACGATATGATCAAGAAATCTGAAAACGTGGTTTAAAAAGAATTTTCGAATTTTTTTTTCGTTATGTTATTTATATCCACATAATTCGCAAAGTAAAAATGCTCGGGCAGTCGAAACTGAAAATTGTAAAATTGTGTGCTGATTAGCACGCTGTCGGATATCAGCTGTTGTAAGAGCGAGAAGGAAAGACTCATATTCGCCTTCTTTCTCTATTTCCCGAAGTTGCCCGAAGCATCGAACTCACGTACGTGCACTACATGCAGTGGAATGTGTCTGCTTTTCCCACCCTCTGTTAGTCGCTAAAGGATGTTCGTCGTTACCAGTGTCGCTATCGATGATCTCAATTATGCCAAATCTGACCACACTGATTCCACCTGAAGTTTAGGGCGTAAACGGCAAGAATTAATTGAGGTGTTTGTTACAATTTACTACACTAAAGTATTTTTCTCCGGACAAATGCATATATAGGTTATGCAAACATAAACAGAATTCGGCGTATGTTTGCAAATGTATTTTATAATGCATTTTCTGTGAACTTTCAAAGAAAATAATGAAAGAAGTGGACTTCGAAACAATAATTTTTATTTCTATGTATTAAATTTTGACTGTTGTTCCTCTCGAGTGTGACACTAAAAGAATGAGCAGCGAGACTCAAATCACGAATATCGTGAACGATATTTTGGTAAGTATTTGCAGTGTTTTAATGTTAATTCCTGCAAATTTTACTATTCGCAATTACAACTTTTGATAATTCATTAGCAAAGTTACTTGAACTTTATTTACCTAATAATCACCTCTGAACGATTTCATGTATTTAATATAATTGTGTAAATTCAAGTAATGATAAAAGCATTACCGCTATTTATTTTAATCGAACTTCTTCAGAATTTTAGATTTTGTTTCATTATTGCAGTAATATAACTTTTCTTATAAAAATTTTTTTGCACCTGTTACAGAAAGTAGAAGCCATTGAAGAGGCATTTAGTTGCGTGCTTGTGCATCATCCAAACAGCGAGAATGAGAAAATGTCAGCATGGCAGACCGAGTTATCGGCTGCTATGTCAAATTTGTCCAAAGAACAGCAAGAAAATGCTGTACGACAATTTTTATCAATGGCAGCGGCTATGACTAATCATAGGCGGTTACAATTGTTATTGTCGTTGCTTGAACATTTAGTTACTTCTAACGTCTTGCCAGCAAGGTACGTATTGAAAGCGATACATTACGAATCGAGCGTTGTATACAGTTATATGTAATTGTAACCGAGTCTAATATACGCATACAATTTTAGACTCGTATGCGAATGTATTCTAAGTTGCGACAAATTACAATATCAGTTAGAAGATTTTTGGGTCGAATGTTTTGTTCTTATTCGACATATTATCGGAGGAGTCGATTATAAGGGTGTTCGAGAAATAATGAAAGTAAGTATATGAAACACAAGTTTCAAAATTATATAAACAAAAATTAGCAAATTTTATTAACGATGCTATAGGGATGTAAAGAAAAAGCACAAACTATACCTGCTAGGTTAAATGCTTCCGTGCAGCCACAATTAAAAGCGTTGGAAAATGTAATCGAGTACATTTTCGATAGGAATGCTTGTTTATTACCCGGCTATTTCATTGTGAATGAAATTCAGAAGGCCTACCCTGGTGGTAAAAACTGGCCACATTGGGTACGTTACTTGAAAGGTAAAGTTTACTACGTTCTGTTAATTTAATTATATCTTACAAGATTAATTACTTGCAGAAACTAGCGAAACTGCTTTCAAACTTTGTCGAGAGTTTCCGCAATACTGCGCAAATGGTGTCTATAGTAGGGCATTCGAAAATGTTACCAGTCGTAGAACATACTGGGTATGCAGATTTGATTAATCCTTGGGTACTCGACACAACAACATTGAAGTTTTCTTTAAAAGGAAATTTGCCCTATGACGAGAAATTACTTAAACCTCAAACTGGGCTGCTTAGATATGTTTTAGAACAACCCTATAGTAGGGATATGGTGTGCTCGATGCTTGGTCTACAAAAACAGGTACATTTTTAGTTTGAAAAATAATGTGAAATCAAATTTCCTATTATTTTGTTTATGTTACAGCAAAAACAACGATGTATAGCTTTAGAGGAGCAATTAGTCGAGCTTGTAATTCTGGCTATGGAACGTGCAGAAAACGAAACTCTGCCAGCGGAAGGAACAGATGGAACTGTTGCCAATCACTACGTATGGTTGCACCTATCGTCGCAGCTTATTTATTTTGTACTCTTTTCGTACGCTTGTTTTCCAAGTATTGTAATGGCAATACACGATAAATTAGCAGGCAGAGACTTAAGGAAAGGGAGAGATCACTTGATGTGGGTCTTATTACAATTTATTTCTGGAAGTATTCAAAGAAACCCGCTATCGAATTTCTTGCCAGTATTAAAATTATACGATCTTCTTTATCCAGAGAAGGAACCTTTACCTGTTCCGGATTATACTCAAGCGTTATGCACTCATCAAATGGCTATCACGTGTATATGGATACATTTGTTGAAAAAAGCTCAATCTGAGCATTCGAATATCCATAGGCCGATACCTCACACTTTGAAACTTCATCATGAATTTTTGCAACATTTAGTAATGCCCAATACTTCTCTTTGTATGGGTTCCGACTATCGCATTGCTTTATTATGTAATGCGTATTCGACGAATCAGGAATATTTTGGTAGACCGATGGCAGCTTTGGTCGATACCATTCTTGGTACGCAAAAGGGCCAGCAGCAACAACCGATGCAGACTTTACAAAATAATGCAGCCCTTGCCAGTGGCCCGACAACACCTTTGTCCATGTCGATTCTGGATTCGTTAACAGTCCATTCGAAAATGAGTTTAATACACAGTATTGTTACCCACGTTATCAAGCTGGCGCAATCCAAAAGCAACATGGCATTGGCACCTGCGTTAGTAGAAACATATAGCAGACTACTGGTGTACACTGAGATCGAAAGTCTCGGTATCAAAGGTTTCATCAGCCAGTTGCTTCCAACGGTTTTCAAGTCTCATGCATGGGGAACATTGTACACGCTCTTGGAAATGTTCAGTTACAGAATGCACCATATACAACCACATTACAGAGTTCAGCTTTTGTCGCATCTGCACAGCCTCGCGGCCGTGCCACAAACTAATCAAACACAGCTTCATCTGTGCGTTGAAAGTACGGCACTTCGCCTAATCACTGGCTTAGGGTCAGCCGAAGTTCAGCCACAGTTATCAAGATTTTTATCAGAACCGAAGACTCTTGTATCCGCAGAATCTGAAGAGTTAAACAGAGCTTTGGTGTTAACATTGGCACGATCCATGCACGTGACAGGAACAGGATCGGATAGTCACAGCGGTACATGGTGCAAGGAATTGTTGAACACGATAATGCAAAATACACCGCACTCGTGGGCGAACCATACTCTTCAATGTTTCCCCCCTGTGCTGAGTGAATTTTTCCAACAAAACAGCGTACCAAAAGAAAACAAGCAACAAATAAAGAAGGCAGTGGAGGAGGAATATCGAAATTGGGCTTCCATGAGCAACGAAAACGACATAATAGCACATTTTTCTGTACCTGGAACACCGCCCCTTTTTCTATGCCTATTATGGAAAATGATTTTTGAAACTGATCGTATCAGTCCAATCGCGTACAAAATTTTAGAGAGAATCGGAGCACGAGCGCTGTCTGCTCATCTTCGAAAGTTCTGTGATTATCTTGTGTTTGAGTTTGCTAACAGCGTGGGTGGACAGCACGTGAACAAATGCGTAGACACGATTAACGATATGATATGGAAATACAACATAGTGACCATCGACAGGCTGATCCTTTGTTTAGTACTGAGAACCCACGAAGGTAGCGAGGCTCAAGTGTGTTTCTTTATCATTCAGTTACTTTTGCTCAAAGCAATCGAGTTTAGAAACAGGGTCCAAGAGTTTGTTAAAGAGAACTCACCCGAGCATTGGAAACAATCGAATTGGCACGAAAAGCATCTCGCGTTTCATAGGAAATTCCCTGAGAAGTTTGCCCCAGAAGGTATTATGGAGCAAACTAGCGGAGGACCCAGTCAATATCAAAGTTTACCGGTTTACTTTGGAAACGTTTGCCTACGATTCTTACCAGTTTTTGACATTGTTGTACATAGGTATTTAGAAATTCCAGCGGTGTCAAAAAGTTTAGAAACATTGCTAGAACATTTAGGATGTTTATACAAATTTCATGGTTCGTACATGTTCGTATTGAAAGGTTATAAATACAATTTTCATAATCGTGTGTTGTTAAATTTTGCGTATTGAATTTCAGATCGACCTGTAACGTATCTTTACAATACATTGCATTACTATGAACGTATGTTGAGGGACAGGCCGCCTCTAAAACGACGCTTAGTGTCTGCCGTTTTAGGTTCACTGAGAGAAATCAGAGCGCCTGGATGGGCACTTTCGGAAGCTTATCAAATGTATATGACCCGGTCATCCGACGATGTTGTTACGTGGATGCCAGAATTGGATTATTACATTCGTTTGGTACAGAGAATCGTAGAAAGTAAGTATTTTTTTAAATAGACGGTAACGCTTAACGCCAATCGAAGGCAAAATGTTGATTAAATGAATAAAGTGTGCTTGTCGAACTATACATATACAGGGTGTTCGGGCACGGGTGCGGGGTTCAATTACAATCATTTTTGGTCATTGGACATACCCTCGAAATCCTACCCTCTTTCGAGAAAAAAATTGAGGAAGATGGAGAAATTTTTCGCCGAAATTGAAAAATTTCATATCGTTGTAAAAAAATTATTTTTAGCTAGGGAGAACGATTACAATCATTTTTGGTGAATAGACATACTCCCGAATTCCTACGCGATTTTGAGCAAAAAATTCCTTACCGAAAATATAATTTCAGGCCAGAAATGGCACCCCAAAATTTCACGCGTATCTTTAAAACGTCATAACTTCTGAACGGATTGAAGGATTTTAAAGTTTCAAAATGCAAACAACGCGTATTTCGGTGAAGATAATGTAAAAATTCTAACAATATTGGAAAAGTTGTTCCTTGATCCCGCAAAATAAGAAAAACCCCATAAAAATGGTCCAATATTCAAACAGCCATAATTCCTACAGTAGTAAATATATTTCAATGAAACTTTTTTCTGAAGTAGAGCTCACGTGCACCTACAAAAAAGTATTAGACAACTTTTCTATGGGGAGTCAAACAAATTTATTAAAAATGAAAAATTAATTTTTAAGAAAAATCGACAGTGCCTTTTCTCGGCGAAAAAAAAAATCACGAATCGTTCTAAAAAAATTATTTCTAGGTTCTGAGGTTAAATACAACCATTTTTGGTGAATACAGATTCCCCGAAAATCCTACGCATTTTCGAGAAATAAATTCAAGAATGTGGACAAATTTTTTGGCGAAAAAAAAAATTTCAAATCTTCCTAAAAAAATTATTTTCGGTTGCGGGGGTCAATTATAATTATTTTTGGTCATGAGACATACTCCCGAATTCCTACGCGATTTGGAGCAAAAAATTCCTTACCGAAAATATAATTTCAGGCCAGAAATGGCACCCCAAAATTTCACGCGTATCTTTAAAACGTCATAACTTCTGAACGGATTGAAGGATTTTAAAGTTTCAAAATGCAAACAACGCGTATTTCGTTGAAGAATATGTAAAAATTCTAACAATGTCCGAAAAGTTGTTCCTTGATCCCGCAAAATAAGAAAAAACCCATAAAAATGGTCCAATATTCAAACAGCCATAATTCCTACAGTAGTAAATATATTTCAATGAAACTTTTTTCTGAAGTAGAGCTCACGTGCACCTACAAAAAAGTATTAGACAACTTTTCTATGGGGAGTCAAACAAATTTATTAAAAATGAAAAACTAATTTTTAAGAAAAATCGACAGTGCCTTTTCTCGGCGAAAAAAAAAAATGACGAATCGTTCTAAAAAAATTATTTTCGGTTCCGGGGGTCAATTACAATCATTTTTGGTGACTAGACATACCCTCGAAATCTTGCGCATTTTCTAAAAAAAAATTCAGTACGGGCGAAACTTTAAACGTTAATAACTTCTTAACGAAGCCTCCATCAACAAATTAGAATTCTTGATTTTCGTCTTATTTTGGACTCTAGAATCTCCCATTACAATCTCTCCCAGGGGTGGTCGGACACCCTGTATGTTGCGTGTGTGTATTTGTTTTTAATATTGAAAATTATTCAAACTATATAATCCTTGTTTCACAAAATTTGTACGGAAGCAATGTCTGGTACTGCTCATTTTCCTGCCACCGATTGGAGGTTCAATGAATTTCCAAATCCTGCTGCACATGCACTGTATGTTACATGCGTTGAACTTATGGCTGTTCCTGTTGCTCCTAATTTGGTTGCTAACTCGCTGTTGGATGTGGTTGCAAAAGGGTAAGATAGAATTAAAGACTGTCGTACATATATTATTGACTGTCATTGAATATTTTAACAAACTCTCGAACATATCAGGTATACGGTGATACCATCAGATGAAATTCATTTATGGATAAATTGCGTGGGCCTACTACTAGCCGCTTTACCAGAATGTTACTGGTCTGCGCTCCACGATAGGCTAGTAGAAACTATCAGCAGTCCAGGATTAGCCAATTGGCAGTACAGTAATTTAACTCCATTTCAAATGTTCAATTTCAATAATACCCATAATAGTCTGCTGGAAAACAAGTATAGTTACATGTTGGCATTGGCGCATTCTGTATGGCACCACGCTGGTGTTGGACAAATAACTACTATGCCTCAGTAAGTCTAAAGACAAATACGCTATAAGTAAAATAGGAAATTTAATAGAATTCATCGTAGTATTAATACGTTTTTATTTAGGTTTATCAAAGAGAAACTTCAACCGGTTGTGAACAGCGAAGAACAATTAATATATGCTTCTCATTTAATCGGACCCACTTTGGCAAGATTCAATGCTGAACGACCACATTGTGTCGTAGAATTAGCAGTCTCGTTATACGAAATGCTTGAGCACGTAGACCGTCTTCAGACCCATTTGAAGTACATGGATCCAGTTTGTGATTTATTGTATCCTTTCACCAATTAATTTTTTATTATTCGCAGAAGTAAATTATTTTTCTTAATAGCAATTAATAGGTATCACATAAAATATATGTTTGTCGGTGATATGATGAAAAATGAAGTCGAATGTATTATACGAAGATTAAGACCGGCTTTGCAAATGAGACTACGGTTTATTGCACACATAAACATAGACGAAATTCAGTCTTCCTGAGATATTCCTAGTACAAGTAACGCTGAAGTGAATACATGCTAACATTAGCAGTCTCGACTGTATACACGTTGTCTTCTTAATAATTCAATATTATCTTTGCATAGACAATGCGTTATAAGTATACTTAAACCATTATCTGAATTTAGAACAGACAATATACAAGAACGCATTTTCAGCGATTTTTACAAAGCAAATAAGCAATGCACATCAACAGAATGTAAAAGTATCGCATATATAACAAAATTTAAGTTGCTTTGTCAAAATGGTACATTTATGACGCTTATAGCTATATACACTTTTACAGGAAAGAGATACAACAACAGACTGATGTATTAAACAGGTTTATAAATGTATATTATCACGGTAAAAGACATAAGTTACAAAACTTGATGTTTTATACGTATTTATAAATTAATCATTCCTATTTATAAGCAAATACTGTTCAACATGTTTTGAGATTAGTCGTAAATTTTACTATATGATTACTGTAAGTATAGTGTATGTAGGTCTTTAAAAATCTGAGCGAAATATCACATACGCACATCCGTGTGTATAACGTATGAAAATTAAACTGTATATTATAACATATTACAGAAACAATTTAATACGTCTATTAAGAGACTGAGTTTATTGTAATCAACGTATTCCTCTTTCAAGCTTACGATCAGTTGTGTGTAATATACTTTCCAGTTCCTAGATATGCGCTGCTCTGGATCAGCAATGTTTCAGGGTACTTGTAAGAAATAGTTAAAATTACATTTTCATACTGATATTATGCCAGCTACATCGAAATATCGATACTAATATATTATTCAAAATCGAAATAAATACCGATATTTTTAGATAGTCATGTTATTATCTTCAAAGAAACCGATGTTTCGAATACCGGTATGGTGTCATCGAAACGACATTATACCAGTAGCTATTTTATTGGGGAGGGGGATTGTAGATTAAATTTTAACAAATACGGAAAATCTCAGAGCTAAACTATATCGGGTTCCTCCAGAGATCGTATTATGTACATTGACTCAAAGTAAAACTCGGACACCCGCAGTTTTGCACTTCATGAATCAATTGGTGTTGCAAGAAAAGTATTGTAACAGAAAATAAAGTTATTTTTATTAAGCTCTATCGAAGATCAATCAAATTTACTAAAAACAAACGCAAAATTTATCTACATTAAGTCATAAAAAAATCTAAGTTTCAGAAATAATGGAAAATAATCTCGAACTAAAACTAGGACAATTGGCAACATTGTTGAATGTGGGGAATCACCGGTAACTTTGTTATTTGATTATAATTGTTTTCATTTTATGTTGAATAAGTGTGAGATAAGCGATAGAAATTTGTGAGTTTTGCGAAATTTATTTTAATATATAAAAATGGGAAGTCAATCTGAATAGACATTAGAAATTCGGAAGCTAATTATAATTCATTTTAAAGATGGTTGAATGGTGGTGCTAGGGACTGACTTCAACGCCACATCCAAGCGATCCACTCGCCCTCTGGTGATTTCACCGTGAAACGTGGGGAACGAACCTGTTCCTTACCCCCGACTGGAATGACGACAGGTGGTGTTGAAGATGCTATTGACTGGGCTTGAGTTCATCGATGGCGACACTAGTAACGACGAACTTCCTTTAGTAACCAACAGAGTGGTGGGGAAAGCAGACACATTCCACTGCATGTAGTGCACGTACGTGAGTTCGATGCTTCGTGCAACTTCGGGAAATAGAGAAAGAAGGCGAATACGAGTCTTTCCTTCTCGCTCTTACAACAGTTGATATCCGACAGCGTGCTAATCAGCACACAATTTTACAATTTTCAGTTTCGACTGCCCGAGCATTTTTACTTTGCGAATTATGTAGATATAAATAACATAACGAAAAAAAATTCGAAAATTCTTTTTAAACCACGTTTTCAGATTTCTTGATCATATCGTGACTATTAAAAAAACAGAAATTTTTGTGTATCTTACGACTGAATGAATTTCAATGAAACTTTACATTTAAGTTTTATGTTCTCATTTCAAGGTCTGATTAAACTTTTCAGCATAATTAGCCCTATGGATAATGATAGTTATATCTCTTGTAGTTTTTTATTTATTCCGATATACATATATGTATATCTAGTAATAAATAGATAAATTAAGTGTAGAAATATAGTTTTCCATACATTTGTCTTTTTATTTACATTATTATATAATATTATTCTAATATTTAATTAATTACTATTAAGGATTACTTTTTCTTTAGAAAATTAGTTTCTTTAGGGACCTGGATATTACATTTCGGCTCTGGTCTGATCACACATTGCTCGCGTGCAGCTATTTATATTTCCTGCCAATTTTTGAATCGCATATAATTCAATGAATAGTTTCTCAACTGAGCGCCATCCATGAGAAGAGGACGCTAAAATCCCTAACCTATGACTAGAAACTAACTAAACTAACTTAACCTACTTGACATAAGATGGCGCGTCGAACGTCGGCAACTCTGGCCGCTGGTCGCTACATTATTGTGGTGGATAGGTTCGCTCTGGAAGAGTCTTCAGATATAAAGTTCAATTCTGTTGTATTAAAAAGACTTTATTTAAGCACACTTCTGCTTTCTTACTTCTAGCTTTGGTAGGCGTCGAACAGAAATGGCCCCTAAAAATTCATGGGCGGCCCAAGTTGGGCCAAGAAAAAGGGGGTGCGCCAACTTAAATCTAATACTACCAACTAGTGACTTAGATCTTACTTAAACTAACTAAAACTAACTAGAAACTACCTAAGACTAGAGACTTAACTAGATGGCGCTTGCTACGCTTGTGACGTTAGCCGCCATATTATATAGCACTTGTCACTATATTAACAAGTATGTTCAATGAAACAGCGGATGTGGTTATAACTATATTTATTTCAACAACAATGAACAAAAGTAATGTGAGCCTTCTACAAAACACATACTCGAGGCTCAGAAACTAGGTTTAGAATAATTGCCATGACTGTAGCTGTTCGCGTGGCGAAGCGTAAGGATCTTCCAGCAACAAAGAAAACTGCATGGACGCTGGTGTGAAAAACAGTTCACCCCTTCGTCAGTAGAGGCGCGACAGCGTACGCAGCGCCAAAGCTACGGACACTGGTCACAATTATAGTACTTTAATATCGAAAGATGTCGCTGCAAGTAACTTTCGACAACGTTCTGTTCAAATTTCTTTCACGAGTCAGTGTTTAGAAAAGCGCGGCACAAAGAATATAAAACAATTGAAAAAGCGGATAAATCTAGTATTAGAATAAATTTTGCATATCGATGCATCTATTATGTTTTATCGATGATACACAATCATAATTATTGTAGAAAACAATTTCTATCGTTTATCGCGGTAATCGCATAACCTAAATTCGATTTCAATAAACGGAATAAAATATGACCGCCATCCATGAGAAGAGGGCGCTAAAATCACATCCAAATTTCAGGTCGGTATGGCAGTCAGATTGGGCCACGAAAGTCCATATGGTGAAAGGTCTACTCGTATACCTCGTCTATGGTGTAAGGTCTACTTGGATACTTCGTCTCTCTCTCTGGTAGTAATAGGGTTCATTGTTCCGCGCTGTTGGCGCTGGTAGCAAGATGGACAACTATTTTTTGAACCATTGTAGCTACTGTATGAAGTATTAATGGCGGCTCTATAGTCCACTATAGTCGAGACGAATGTAAATAATGATTAGTGTAACGAAAAATTTGTGAACATATAGTATACAAATACCTTATAATTAGTGTTTTTAAGTAAGAAAACATGGGTCGCCGTTCGATAAATACCACGAAAAGTGGGAAATATATGAATCCCACTGATCAAGCACGTTAGTAAAAGACATAACCAAGCAATTCGTTTCTTTCAGTACAATTACTATTAATAAATTTATTATAGGTAAAGAAGCGCGTAAAAAGGAGTTAAAGAAAAATAAAAAACAGAGACAATTAGTGAGAGCAGCTGTTTTAAAGGGCAAAGATCCTGCTCAAATTATCGAAGAAATGGAAAAGATAGACCAAATGGGTTAGTATAAAACTTATTATTTCTTCGTTAGTTAATATCGTGAATAGAATAGAATACTTAATTGTGTTGTGTTTAACTTTTAGAATACAATGTCATGCAACCTCCACCTCTTAACGAGAAAGTATTAAAAGATAAAAGGAAAAAACTAAAGGAGACTTTAGATCGTGTGTTAAAAATGTATGTAAGTATTTAAAAAGTAATGATTATAAATTTTCTTCAAAAATTCTTGGTAAGATTTAATCGACGTGAGTAAAGTAACGTTCTATATACGGGTTATTTTTCACGTTGTATCGATAGGCAAAAGACGATCAAGAAAAATGGTCGGAGTTAAAAGAACAACTGATACAATACGAACGCAGAAGGATAGATTTAGTATCTTATTTTGAAGCCGTGCGGCATGCTCAACAAGTACAAGTCGATGAAATTCCGTTACCTTCGGCTGGTAATGATATATCCAGAATGTATTCAGGTACGTGTTTAGACACTTATAATGTTATCTATAATGGAATATTTTATTTCTCATATAAAGAATATATTTCTAGGTTCTTTAACATCGCAAATACCTTTGCCGGACATGCCACAACCACCGGCACACATGTATCCTCCTCATCCACATTACATACCACAACATCATCCACTTATGAACATACCGATACCACCAAGTATTTTGAAAAAAACAAGCGCATATGCATCGTCTCCATCCATACCTACATTAGCACCTAATAAAGAACCACCCGGTGTACCACCTTTCCCTCCTCCAGACTTATCCAGCGACGATGAAGATGTATCTGAAAAGGTAAATATTTTAACCCTCCGTTGGCATAACGGGTCGTTTAAGTCCAGGCAAAAGTTTCTACGTTTATTTGCTCCCTTTACCTAATAAAGCTTGAGTATGATTTGTACATCAAATTAGAAACTCTAATAAGTGTCTTGGAATTTTTGCAGATTTTTGTAACGCCTAAAACAATAAAAAACCAAACCTAGATTTAAAAGACCCGTTTTTGCTGACAGAGAATTAATTATTTCTATTGTAGTTGCTTTTAATACCACTCGCGTAACGTAATCTGTAATTATGTAATTTCTATACACAGGTTAAAGAACCAACAACAAAATCAAGGACAATCCGATTCGCAGACGATAAAGAAGATAACAAGCAAGAATTAGACAGTAAGGAAAAAGAGACGGACAAGGATAAAGAAAGAGACATGTCGAAAGTAAAGCCAACTACATTGCAACAGAAAATGTTGGCTATGGCGGGGCAAGACATTGATCAGTTTATGCGTGAAATGGAAGTAGTTCATAAGAAACGTGAAACTGAACGTGCCCAAGACCTGAATGCTCGATTATCGTTGCTCGAAGCAGAAAATGAAACTAATTCGAAATCTAGTAATAAATCTAATACTAACAAAACGGAAGAAGAAGATCTTGAGCCACCAGGAGCATCGGACCACTCTTCGAACCACAATCAACATACGTCATCGCACTCTCATTCTCAACATACGCAACCTCATACAATGCCTCCTATGGGATTACCGCCTCATCCTTTAATGTACAGACCACCACCACCCCCGTTGCATTTGAGAATGCCACCTCCACCACCGCCTCGTATTGGACTTCGATTACCACCTGGTAAGGATATTACAATATACAATGTGATTTACCTGACACGGACAACTTAACCTCATAGCTTACAATGACGTCTCAGAGACGTGATAAGTCTATCGGATCAAACCTTGGCGTTGCTTTTGGCACACACAGTTGGAAATTAAATCGTAAGGCAAGGTGTTAATTATCACGTTCAAGAGATAAGTTGAATAGTTTTGTAGAAGACTGTAAATACAGGTGTTACGTTGTTGCGTAGACGCAAACGAGTGTCAAGTGTACTTGTACGTGGCGGGGATTGTTAGGTAGTAGGGGAATGAGCAGCGTGTAGCCCGCAAACCTCGAGTTTGGTTGCTCCGTTTTATAGAATAGATGAAGTGTTAAGGTCTTCTTTTTGCAAGTTGTTATTCATCAATGTTAAAAATTATTGTTTAGGTCCGCCACCTGGAATGCCAAGAATGTTACGGCCCGGACCGCCAAGTATGCCTAGAATGCCACCACCGCAAATGCAAATGCCCAATTTATCAAATATGACGAACATAGGAAATCCTCAAATGCAGACGCAATCTGGAACAGGGTCACAGCCCAAAACGCCCAATGTTCTTTCCGCTGCTCCGCAGTTAATTAATAGGAAAGACAAAGATGGGAAGAGTACCACGACTATCGAAGCAAAACCGCAGATTAGAAATTTAGCTGCCGATGTTACGAGATTTTTACCTACTTCTCTTCGCGTGAAAAGGGACGATAAGAAGAAACCAAGTACATTGTTCAGACTTGTTGAGAGAATACCAGAAACACAACCATTACGAACGCCTCAACCTAAAACTAAAGATGATGCATACATGCAGTTTATGCAAGAAATGGAAGGATTACTTTAAATTTATATTACATTGTAACTTTCAACTTTATTGAGATAGAAAACGTTGAAATTCTGTAAGATATGTTACGTCTCTTATTGCTATAATCAAAATAATTAATATAAATTTCTTAATTTAGTATCCCATCATTTCGTCAACATTGTACGTTCTTATTTAAATGCAATTATATATAAGCCATATTTTTATTAAAAAAAAAAAAATGAAATAATAAATAATTACATTTTATGTTTACTGTAAATATTAATATTTCATTTATAAACAAGTAATTTATATAATTTACAACTAAACGTTAATCTGCAAATTTACCCTGATAGTTATGTATGTGGATTGTTGTCAACAATAACATTTTTTTAAACGATACATGAGCATTTTTTAAATGCACGATTAGAAGCATATTCTGCACACTGTAAAGATGAAAGAATATCGTATGAACATATTAAATTATGTCGAATAAACGCTTCATTTCGAATTATAATTTACCTAATACTTTCTATTTATGATAAAATTTAGCAAGAACGCCTAATAAATAGTAATACATATTTCTAATTTCAACTTAACATTGAAATTTGTATATATTGTAGATAAATATAAAAATGATCTTTGTAATACTACTGTCGTCCCTATAGAAATACGTACTTCGAAATTTTGTTGTTAAATACGATAATATTCGAAATATGTCGAAAATTTTTTAATTTCCGTATAGTATTTCTCTTCTTTATTTAGTATTTAATTTATCTATTTATAATATTTATTCCAACTACATACGTGAATCTTTAAATTAACTTTAAATTTTTAAATTTAATGTATATTATTTTTCTAGAAATGATTTGTTTTAGAGGTGATTTTCTTTTTAATTTCAACAACTTAAATAAAAAGTATTACCTTTGTTAATATATACTGCAGTTAAAAGAACGAGATTTTTATTTACTTATACGTTTTTTGTTTTTATAGGAAATGTTTCTTTTACTAAGAGAAAATGTTGGTGCACTACATGTGATGCACGCAAGCGTGTCGTAAAAGATCTGTGCACCACATGTGATGCACGCAAGCGTGCCGTGAAAGATGTGTGCACCACATGTGATGCACGCAAGCATGTCGTGAAAGATCTGTGCACCACATGTGATACACGCAAGCGTGTCCTGAAAGATCTGTGCACCACATGTGATACATGCAAGCGTTCCGTGAAAGATGTGTGCACCACATGTGATGCACGCAAGCGTGTCTTGAAAGATCTGTGCACCACATGTGATACACGCAAGCATGTCGTGAAAGATATGTGCCACACATGTGATGCACGCAAGCGTGTTACAAAAGACAGCTGTGCATATACATACGTCACGTTTCTAATTCGCGACCTTTTTCTATACTGGATCGCGTGAGGATTGGGAGCGAGATGCGGGTCAATTGAATACGGCGGTAGCAGACAAGAAAACGATTTATAAATAACAATAAAACAATAACAACGATAACAATGAAACAAGCGATAACATGTTGAAGAATGCCTCTAGGCGTTGGAACTTGATACCGTATCGGTTGCCGGACAAGATTCGACTAATGATCACTAATGAGTACATAATTCTTATTACAGCTTTCGTTGGCCCCGTGGAAAAGAGGGCGCGGACGTAGTTCCTGTTTCCGATTCCTCTTTTGTCGCGAGCGGTACGACGACGGCGACGGTGGCGCCACATATATTCGAAGTAGTTGGCAGCGAATGGTTTAAATTACATAAAATAATATTTTATTTCATTTTTACGTGCTTACCGATTTTAATAAAACCGTAACGAGAATAATTATTCTTTTATTCGTATCTATTTCAATTAAAGTTATGAAATGACACAATTATCAAAGCATGCGCTAGATAACCAATATGGCAGAACTTCCATTTCCGACAACAGTAAATAACGTCATTTCCTTCTTCTCTATAACGGTGCGATTCGTCTCCAATTTTGGTCTGCAAATCGTGTGAATAAGTTGTGTGCACATTTTACATAAAGTAACTGTGTTTTGTGCTCCGGCTTTAAATGTGTTATAAGAAAGTATTTTAATACACTTACGATTCTGCAGTTAATTATATTTTAAGTGGTTCGATTTGAAGTTCTAAGGAAAAATGTATACGAGAAGCAGACAAAGCCAAGGCTATGCCAATGGTGAGTCACGTCTCATTTTCTAAAAGGGAAATTATACTACTTTACAGACGATATTGTAATATTTTTACGTAATAAATATGTTTATTGCGGTTAATAGGTTACGAATATATAAATAGCTTTGGTAGAAAAAAATCAATATCTTACATACCGGCTTTTCGTGAATGGCGTCCTCAACGAACATCGTTTTGACGCATTAGCTTCATCCTCCATAATTTTAACAATCTCGAGAATTACTAATTGAATAAAAATATTACAAAAATCGTCCCCCGGAATAATTTTTTATATACTTATTTGCATTTGCGTATGTATGTGCGCTACACATACATGCATTGCATACACTTAACTTAATTGTTTTCGATTGCATTTATAATAAATTTTCATATTAATTATAAAGCCATAAATTATGTAACGTTGATATGCTTTCAAATGTACCAGTATCTCATGCTAATATTAGAAATTTTTTTAATTTACAGCGAGGAACCAAAATAACCCAAATGTGGGATACCAAGGACAAAGCACTGTAAGTTTCCTAGTTTTAACAATAATTTCACTATAATATACTTTATATGATATTTAGAAAGTTTTTGAAAAATAACTAGTTTTATATAATTGGTCATATTAATTGAATAGACAAACTTAGAAAGCACATTAGCTCAAATAGACAATCGTTTTTTTAAGGCCTAATTTAGAAAATTCAAATGCCAAAAAAATGTCTAGCGTTAAGAATTTTTATTAAAAATCGTATGTTTACTCTTGCTATTAGAAAATTATATCAAAAGGAGAAAAAATTAAGCATAAGTAATGTTGATTTTACGTATAAATTTTATTTCCATAATTTGAATTGAAAGTAAATTTTAAAGTATTCTATCCCTTATGTGGCTAACCATGTACCCGGGTACTTATTAATATTTTGGAAGATAGTACCTGTTTCAAGGAAATTGAAATTACACACACTGTCAATATGTTTGAGTCGGACTTTATTCGTCGCCAGCTACAGAAATATAGGTTCAAGTCGAAGGTACTCCCTCATGTGGCATCGTTCTTCCACCTTGCGTCCACCGATATTCTTCTGTTTATTCATTCTCGGTCGTCAAAATATAAACAGATTTTGTTTCTTGGGTAGACAGCTATCCGGACCTCTTTATGAGATAATTATCAAGTGCCGAGATATACACTACGGTTCATAAGTATTTGGACACTTCACGAATGTTGGCTAAAGAGTCAATATCATTCAATTGATGTATTTCTAATTGGATTAACATGAATTTATGTTATTGATGTATAAATAATACTACGGTGAATTGTATGCAAAATTCTTACCAACAAATGGACGAAAATTGTTAAATATTGCCTTCGTCTATATGTATATTCATCTCGTTGAGCGATAACCGCGTTGATCATTCGTGGTAGTCTCGAAGTTAATTTTTCTAGAGTTTCTTCTTGAACCTCTCTCCAAGCTTCTTGCAAATAATCCCACAACTGCTTCTGTGGCTGACCCTTTTCTACAATTTTGCGGTACATTTCATCCCACAATTTCTCGATGGGATTCAAGTTGGGTGATTGTGGCGGCCATCCCATAATTTGCATTTCATTATTGTCTTCCAGGCTTTTTAAATAATTGGAACATATTTTCGCCGTATGTTTTGGGTCATTATCTTGCATAAGGATAAAGTTTTCACCGATAAGATCTTTCCCTGATGATATCGCATGCTCGCTCAAAATTTTCAAATACTGTTCTTTTCGGAGAATTCCATCAACTTTCACTAAACTTCTCACCTTGTTTGCACCAAAACACCCCTAAATCATAACCACCACCATGCTTTATTGTGGGTTTAATGTAGTCTGGCAATATTTCTCATTAGGTTTCCTTCGCACAAATGAATGATGCTTGCTCCCGAAAACTTCAAATGTTGACTCATCGGTCCAGAGCACCTTTTCTCAATCTGATGTTGTCAAATTTGCATGTTGCTTTGTGCATTGGAGCCTTTTCAATTTATGTTGAGGCCTTAAAAGTGGTTCTTTAATTGCTACACATCCTCGTAGTCCACTGTTTAGTAAACGTCTCACCGTTATCACCCCAATAGGATTGTCTCTTCCTCTATTCACTTCTACTGTGATTTTTGGTGCTGTCGTCCGCCTGTTGCATTTGCTGAGGGTCTCAATATACCAGTTTTCAGCTTCCGTAGCCTTCTTTGGTCGACCTGTTCTCTTCTTGCTGCTACAAGTGTCGCAATTTATGAAATCAGCAACCGTATACTGCACTACGGAACGCGAAACAGCGACTTTGGCTGCTATGACCCTAATGGAATTACCTTTTTTCAATGTCACTATCGCAGAACGTTTCTCTACTGATAATTTGCTTCCTCTCGCCATGATTCTTACCAAAAGCAATGCTAAACTGAAATTGAGGTTAAGGAAACGCATTCATCGCTTTGGCTGTGTCTTTACCTCTAACAAATGAATAGAACTTCAGACAATGTATACAAATACTGAAAACGTGACCCAGACTAGACGATGCAATTACCCTAAGATGCCAAACATAAACAGATGTGACTCAGAGTCGCTTGAAGCCTCCACATTCAAGTGCCTTCACAAGACCAATTTTCGTCCACTTTTAGTTATTACCATTTCATTTATACTACTTATATGGATTCTATATGGACATGTGAATAAAAAACAATGATCGAAGTTACATTAGACGGCTTTACCTATAGATTATTTCAGTTTTTTCTGACAAGGTAGAGGTGTCCAAATATTTATGGGCGGTAGTGTATGTGATCTACATTAGAGCTATTTGCACCAGCTATGAGTAAAACATTTATGAAAGCAAACAACTCTTCCGTGATAAGAGTTTTTAGCAATTGCCTTGGGATTTGTACGTTCTACGATAATATAAGTGAATGTATCTCGAATTGATAATGTTGTGGATGATATAGGTCACTTTTCTCTCTAACGATGTTATAAGATGGCGTTCGATGATAAAGAAGTGGTGTTTTATTCCAAATCTTTTCATTT